GCATTGCGCTTGCATGTCGCAATCATTGCGCTGGCGAGTCATAATGAATCCTCCATAAAAAAGACTCATCTTGAAACCCTCCACCAGAAGGGTTCCTATTGAGATTGAAACCCTCCACCGGAAAAAAAGGTTCGGTCACATTGGAACCTTACACAGAAGGATTACATGCGACGCCCTCCACAGAAGGGGATTCCTACTGAAATTAATCACACATGCGTTCCCCGATGGGCATTGCATTCACATTGGGTTGGGATCGCCTTCGCATTAAGTTGGCGTTGCGTTGGCACTGCTTTGGCATTGGGCTGACATTGCGCTGGCTAGTTTCAATAGTTGCGTTCGCAGAATGGCTCCTCTTGAACCCCACACAAGAAGGAGTCCGATTGAAGAATTCCACGTGAAGGGTTCATATAGAACCCATTCGGATCCCTCCATAGAAAAAGTCCGATTGAAAATGGCCACAAGCGATTCCCCCCAAGGCATCTCATTTGGATTGGGTGGGCATTGCCCTGGCATTGGTTAGGCATGACGTTGGCACTGGTTTGGCGTTGCGCTGGCGAGTTCCAATGGCTCCCACCATAGAAGGACTCCTACTGCAACCTTCCACACGAAAGGTTCCTTTTGAAAGCTCCCACATGAAGGTGCATGGCCAAACCCTCCACAGACGGATTCGTGACGAAACTCTCCCCAAGAAGATGTCGATCGACATCCTCCGAAGGAGCCGCAGCCAAATCATCCATATACGGAGTTCTGTTGGAATCTGTTGAAAGACTGGAATCCTGCCATTGACATTGCATTGGCATTGGTTTGGTGACGGTTGAGCATCGCATTGGTACTGCTTTGGCATTGCGATGGCAGTGCGTTGGCATTGCGCTGGCGAATCCCAACCAAACGCTCAACAGAAGGACTCCGATTGAATACGTCCACAAAAACGATGCCTACGGACCCCCACAATAAGGATTCGCATTGCAATCCCCCACAGGAGGGTTACATGCGAATCCCTCCACAGAAGGACGCCTATTGAAATCCTCCGGAGAAGGGTCCTTAGAAGGATTCCTGTGTGGACGACATCATCCACAGAAGGGTTCTTAGAAGGATTGTGATTGAACACTACCAAAAACAATCCACCCCCAGTGGCGTTGCATTGGCATTACAGCTGGATCGCCTTGGCGTTGGTTTGGCATTCCTTTGGCACTGCGGCGGCATTGCGCTGGCGAGTCCTAATGCCCCCCCCCCCTTCGCAGAACGCATCCTATTGAAACTCTCCACAAGCGAGCTTCCACTTGGAATCTATAACAACGGGTCACCCGCATTGGCATTGCAGTGGCATTGGATTTGGACGGCCTTGGCATTGGCTTGGCATTACGATAGCACTGCTTCGGTATTGCGTTGCCATCGCGCTGGCGGGGTCCGAACGGCTCCCTCCGCAGAACGACTCCTACTGAACCCCCCACAAGAAGGATTCCTAGTCAAACCCTTGACAGGGGGATCTCTATCGAAACCCTCCACAGAAGCATTTCGATTGAAATCCTCCGAAGAAGGATTCGTAATGTATCTGTCCACACAGGATTCTAATTGAAATCTACCGAGCGAGAGGATTCCCCCATTGGCATTGGATTAGGCACTGCTTTGACATTGCGCTGGCATTGCGCTAGCGAGTCCTTGTGCCTCCCTTCGGACAACGATCTCTATTGAAACCCTCCAGAAATACGATTCCTTTTAACATCTACCACAAAGGCTCCCTCCATTGGCATTGCATTGGAATTGGATTGGAATCACCTTGGCATAGGTTTGGCACTGCGATGGCACTGCTTCGGCATTGTGTTGTCATTGCGCTGGCGAGTCCTACGTAATGGCTCCCTCCGCAGAACGACTCCTACTGAACTCCCAACAAGAAGGACTCCCAGCGAAACCCTCCACAGGAGGATCCCTATCGAAACCCTCCACAGAGGCATTCCTATTGAAATCCTCCGAAGAAGGATTTGTAATGGCACCGTCCACAAAGGATTCTCGTTACAAAATCAACCAAGCGAAAGGATTCCCCCATCCACATTGCATTGGCATTGGCATTGGTTTGCAATGGATTGGTATCGCATCGGCATGCAGTGGCCTGGTGCAGGAGATGGACAAAGAGAGAGAGAGAGAGAGAAAGAAAAAAATCAAGAGAGAGAGAGAACACGAGATAACGATATAACGATATAGCGAGAGAAGCAGATGATGAGGGGATCACGGCGGACAGGAAAATGGCAAAGAAACATCAAAGCTTATAAAGATGAAGGAGCGTTCCACTGGATAAAAGCCATATCAAAACAACGTGCGCCTCCACACACACCCGGCCTCTCCTCCGCCTCCTCCTCCTCTTCTTATTAGTCTTGGTCTTCTTCTTATTATGAGTATGCTTCTTATTCTTATTATTATTAGTAGCATTCTGAATATTATTCTTTTTAATATGAGTATTAGTATTCGCATTATTATTCTTATTATTATTATTATTACTATTATTATTAGTATTATTATCATTATTATTATTATGATTAGGAGTATCATTAGTATTATTCGTATTAGTATTACTATTATTATTATTAGTATGAATAATATCATTATTATTATTAGTATTATTATTCGTCTACTTATTATTATTATTCCTCCTCCTCCTCCTCCTCCTCCTCCTCCTCCTCCTCCTCCTCCTCCGTCTCCGCCTCCGCCTCCGCCTCCGCCTCCGCCTCTGCCTCCGCCTCCGCCATCGCCTCCTCCTCCTCCTCCTCCTCCTCCTCCTCCTCCTCCTCCTCCTCCTCCTCCTCCTCCTCCTCCTCCTCCTCCTCCTCCTCCTCCCTCTCCCAATCCCAATCCTCCACCGCCTCCACCGCCTCCAACTCGTGGCGGCGGTGGAGGAAGGCAGGCCCACCAAACTAAGGCCGAGGAGCAGGCCGAAGAGCCCCGAGGCCCTGCCGAGGGCCCCCCGGAGGCGGCCCCCCTCCCTCCCGAGGCCTCGCGCGGGGCAGCGCGCCCGCAGCAGGGCGCCCCGCGGCACGACGGAGCGCGTGCACAGAGGCCTCCTCCTCCTCCTCCTCCTCCTCCTCCTCCTCCTCCTCCTCCTCCTCCTCCTCCTCCTCCCTACTCGACCTTTGGCCTTCCGAGGAGCCGCCCGTGCCCTCGGAGACGGCCCCAGAGGCTCCCCCGGGAAGGCCGGCGGCCCCCCGAGAGCCTCCGAGGAGGCCCGCCCCCCCCTCTCTTCCCCCCCCCCCCCCACAGGAGTGGATCATTGGGGTCGGAGTGGATGTGGCCGGCGGATCGCCCCGAGCAACGATTGTGCCAGCGCGCGGAGCCCTCGTTCCGGCCCGGGCCCCGAGCGAGGAGTCCAGGAGGCTGCCGACGCGCCTCGCCCCCCCCCCCCCCCCCGGGGGGCGCTCCTCCCTCCATGCGGCTTCCTCGTGCACGGGAGGCCTCCTGGATGGGGTCGGAGTGGATGTGGCCAGAGGATCGCGCCGCATCGCCAATGCATCGCCGATGCATCGGCGACGCACGGTGTGGGCATTGGATAAGAGACCCTTAGATAAGGAGTCCAGGGTCTGGAAGCCAGCGGTACTCCAATCGTGGATCGGCCATGGATCTCACCGCCACCCTCACTGGATAAGGAATCCTCCAGGGTCTGGCGCCTCCTGGGACTATTCCTTAACAAACGCCTCCACCGTATCGGCGATGCACCTGCGATGCATCGTCGACGTCGGCGATGCATCGGCGACGTCCGCGTGGAGAAGATCGGGCTCCGCATCGAGCCGCATCGGCGATGCATCGGCGATGCGGCGCGAGCCTCCGACCCCATCTACGCCGACCCCATTCAGGAGGCCTGGAGTGCACGAGGAACACGCATGGGGGGAGGAGCGCCCCCCGGGGGGGCGAGACGCGTGAGTGTAGCCTCCTGGACTCGTCGCCCGAGGCTCGAGCCAGAACGAGGGCTCCGCGCGCTGGCAAGATCGTGGCTCGGGGGGGGGGGTCTGGGTTCAGCCAGCTGAGGGAGGAGGAGGAGGAGGAGGAGGAGGAGGAGGAGGAGGAGGAGGAGGAGGAGGAGGAGGGGGGCCAGCTCAGATGGGGGGGGGGAGGCGCATCGACCTCGCATCGCCGATATATACGCGTCGCTGTTATAAATCGGCGACATGCCCGCGATCGCGACACCCCCGACGCTCCCGGGCGGGGCCGGCCAGATGGGGCCCGGGCCCCAACTGGCCATCGCTCGGACGTCCATTTCCTGTGTTTTTTTTTCGGTTTCGTGCGTGGTTTTTCGCGACATGATCAAGGATGCTCCTCGATGGTCCTCGCCGAGGAAAAAACGCACACGTCCGAGCGATACCGAGCCAAGCGAGCGACGAAGACAGGCGGGCCTGGCGCGAGACGAGGCAACGACCTTGCGCGGCTTGCGCGGGCCGCCAGCGCGGCACGCTGCACTGGAGACGAGGGCGGCTCAGGCGCGGCCCTGCGGGGCAGCTTCGGCGCCAACGTCGGCGCAGCCGACCCCGTGTTCTTCCGCCGCGAAATTGGCGATGGGTGGGCAACCGGGGGTCGATGTTCCCCCCCCACCCCCACCCCTGGGCCATTCCATCCTGTGCGCCTCTGACCAGCAACTCCTACCTCCCGATGTGCTCGCCGTGGGAAGGGGTCTGGCCGAAGCGCTAGAGACTGGGGGTCCTGGGGCCGGGGCCGCGGGCCTGGGCGAAAACGCCTGCTGCAAGAAAGTGCGACGCCGGGACCTGAGGCTGAGGGTCTCCCTCTCCTCCTCCTCCTCAGCCTCCTCCTCCTCCTCCTCCTCCTCCTCCTCCTCCTCCTCCTCCTCCTCCTGGGAGCAGGCTGGTACGTTCAGGAGTCGACCGCCTCTATCTTGGCTTTGAGGTTCTGCAGGGCGGGGGAGTGCCACTGGGCCTCCTGCACGGCGCGGACGGAGGCCATCACGTAGGCCGCGTAGGACTTGACGGGGAAGTCCATGAGCTCGTCGCCAAAAGGGTCCTCGATCACATACGTGAGGGCGAGCAGGCCCTGGTAGATGGCTTGGTGGTCCCCAAACGTGGTGGTGAGAACACCCGGTGGTGAGTTTTGGGCGATTTGGGTAATGGTTTTCGAGCGCTGGCTGGCCCAGGAAACGCAAAACCTCGTGGCGACCGCGTGTCCCCAAACCCGGTGGTGACCCAGAATTATTGCTTTGGGGAATCGGGGTCACCACCGGGTGTCTCACCACCTGGTTTGGAGACCACCAAATGGCGCAGACGATCACGGCCATGCAGGTCTCCCGGAGCCACACTTCCATGCTGCCGACGTCCAGGCCGATCTTCAGGCCCGCGTGGATGGCCGCGAAGACGTTCTGAGCGTGGCACAGGCAGGCGACCAGGTGCGTATAGGCGAAAGGCAGCTGTGTTCGCAGGTGGGTGTAGATATTATCAATGGAGCTCTTCGCTTCGGTGCAGAGCATCTGTATCGGGGTAAAATTCGGGGGTGGAAGGCCGACAAAGCCGAACTGGCACACGCGCAATATCCATGACCACACCGCTACGGGACGTTGGGAAGCTCCCAGCTGCTCCAGGTATTCGACCTCGTCCTTCGTCAACAGCTCGTTGCTCAGGAGGTCGCTGAAGTCATTGTGGTTCCTTGCGGCCTGGAGAGGGGGAAGGAAACTCAGCAAATGCTAACACCTGCGAGGTGAAGGCTTCGATGACTCGTGCGATACCAAGTGTGCGGGATACCCTAGCACGAAAGCATCGAAGGATTGGAGGCCTCCCACTATGGGCTCCGCGTGGGTGTGATCGGAGGATCGCGCCGCACCGCCGATGCATCGCCGATGCATCGGCGATGCTTTGGCGACTTCGGCGATGCATCGGCGCCGCCAGCGTGAAGAAAACCAGGTTCCACATCGAGCCGCATCGCCGATGCATCGCCGATGCGGCGCGAGTCCCCGATCCCATCTGCTCGGGCCCCAGGCGGAAGGCCTGGAAGAGTGCACGCGCAGTCGCCACCACTGACTCCGCTCCGCTCCCCCAGTTTGGTGTTTGTTTCACTTGGGAGCCCACATGGCCCCCGCGATTCTTCTTCTTCTTCTTCTTCTTCTTCTTCTTCTTCTTCTTCTTCTTCTTTTTCCTCTCTCCTCCTCCTCCTCCTCCTCCTCCTCCTCCTCCTCCTCCTCCTCCTCCTCCTCCTCCTCCTGCTCCTCGTCCGATATTTAGGCCTGACTTGCATCGGCTTCGGCACACCTTTGGGACCAGCTTCGGGCCGGAGCTGGGACCGGAGCCGACCCTTGGCCAGGGAGGCGAGGAGCACGGGGAGGGGGAGCAGGAACAGCAGAGGCACCTAGGAGCAGAAGGGAGGCCGAGCGCGGTCCGAATGCTCCTCCTCCCCCTCCTCCTCCTCTTCCTCCTCCTCCTCCTCCTCCTCCTCTCCACGTCGCCGCCCAGGGCGCCCACGAGCAGACCTCGAATTCCCCCCCCCGAGGCGCTCCGGGAAGTCAGCCTCGGACACCCTGCAGGTACGGTCGAGTCGGGCCTGTCCCCCTACAGGGGGACCTTCTCGACGAAAAACCAAAATTAGCCTGGCGAAGGACCCAACCATATGCAGTTGAGAGTACCGCAATTGTGAATATCTTCTTCGGTGGCGCTCCCTATGGGGCCACGAGCCGTATGAGGGGTGTGCCGAAATGCGTGGCAGTGTACACAACACGAACGAAGACGATAGGTCCGAATATGAAAGCTTGAGCGCGTGCGAGTCGGATCGCGAGCGAGTCTGATTATGAATGAATCTGCGCGCGATTGATTCTATTCGCATGAATGCGTGCATGGATACGCCCAGTGTAAATGTATGTATACGACTGTGAACAGTTTGGGTCTGCGTGACTCTCGGTACTCGTGACTCTGAGCGTCGCCTCTGCAGGGGGCTTCCCTGGGAACCCCGACGGCAGCGCCCGCGCGCCGCGACGCCCATGTCGGCACGCCACACACCTGGTGTGCGGGACGCATGCGGACGGCAGCACTGGGGCCTTCGGTGGAGCTCCCTGTGGGGCCACGAAACGTGTGAGGGGTGTGCCGAAATGGGTGTGCGGGACGCATGCGGGCGGCACCCATGGGGCCTTCGGTGGAGCTCCCTATGGGGCCACGAAACGTGTGAGGGGTGTGCCGAAATGGGTGTGCGGGACGCATGCGGGCCACGAAACGTGTGAGGGGTGTGCCGAAATGGGTGTGCGGGACGCATGCGGACGGCAGCACTGGGGCCTTCGGTGGAGCTCCCTGTGGGGCCACGAAACGTGTGAGGGGTGTGCCGAAATGGGTGTGCGGGACGCATGCGGACGGCAGCCATGGGGCCTTCGGTGGAGCTCCCTATGGGGCCACGAAACGTGTGAGGGGTGTGCCGAAATGGGTGTGCGGGACGCATGCGGACGGCAGCCATGGGGCCTTCGGTGGAGCTCCCTATGGGGCCACGAAACGTGTGAGGGGTGTGCCGAAATGGGTGTGCGGGACGCATGCGGACGGCAGCACTGGGGCCTTCGGTGGAGCTCCCTGTGGAGCCACGAAACGTGTGAGGGGTGTGCCGAAATGGGTGTGCGGGACGCATGCGGACGGCAGCCATGGGGCCTTCGGTGGAGCTCCCTATGGGGCCACGAAACGTGTGTGCCGAAATGGGTGTGCGGGACGCATGCGGACGGCAGCACTGGGGCCTTCGGTGGAGCTCCCTATGGGGCCACGAAACGTGTGAGGGGTGTGCCGAAATGGGTGTGCGGGACGCATGCGGACGGCAGCCATGGGGCCTTCGGTGGAGCTCCCTATGGGGCCACGAAACGTGTGAGGGGTGTGCCGAAATGGGTGTGCGGGACGCATGCGGACGGCAGCACTGGGGCCTTCGGTGGAGCTCCCTGTGGGGCCACGAAACGTGTGAGGGGTGTGCCGAAATGGGTGTGCGGGACGCATGCGGACGGCAGCCATGGGGCCTTCGGTGGAGCTCCCTATGGGGCCACGAAACGTGTGAGGGGTGTGCCGAAATGGGTGTGCGGGACGCATGCGGACGGCAGCACTGGGGCCTTCGGTGGAGCTCCCTGTGGGGCCACGAAACGTGTGAGGGGTGTGCCGAAATGGGTGTGCGGGACGCATGCGGACGGCAGCCATGGGGCCTTCGGTGGAGCTCCCTATGGGGCCACGAAACGTGTGAGGGGTGTGCCGAAATGGGTGTGCGGGACGCATGCGGACGGCAGCACTGGGGCCTTCGGTGGAGCTCCCTGTGGGGCCACGAAACGTGTGAGGGGTGTGCCGAAATGGGTGTGCGGGACGCATGCGGACGGCAGCCACTGGGGCCTTCGGTGGAGCTCCCTGTGGGGCCACGAAACGTGTGAGGGGTGTGCCGAAATGGGTGTGCGGGACGCATGCGGACGGCAGCCATGGGGCCTTCGGTGGAGCTCCCTATGGGGCCACGAAACGTGTGAGGGGTGTGCCGAAATGGGTGTGCGGGACGCATGCGGACGGCAGCCATGGGGCCTTCGGTGGAGCTCCCTATGGGGCCACGAAACGTGTGAGGGGTGTGCCGAAATGGTGTGCGGGACGCATGCGGACGGCAGCACTGGGGCCTTCGGTGGAGCTCCCTGTGGGGCCACGAAACGTGTGAGGGGTGTGCCGAAATGGGTGTGCGGGACGCATGCGGACGGCAGCCATGGGGCCTTCGGTGGAGCTCCCTATGGGGCCACGAAACGTGTGAGGGGTGTGCCGAAATGGGTGTGCGGGACGCATGCGGACGGCAGCAGTGGGGCCTTCGGTGGAGCTCCCTGTGGGGCCACGAAACGTGTGAGGGGTGTGCCGAAATGGGTGTGCGGGACGCATGCGGACGGCAGCCATGGGGCCTTCGGTGGAGCTCCCTATGGGGCCACGAAACGGGACGCATGCGGACGGCAGCACTGGGCCTTCGGTGGAGCTCCCTGTGGGGCCACGAAACGTGTGAGGGGTGTGCCGAAATGGGTGTGCGGGACGCATGCGGACGGCAGCACTGGGGCCTTCGGTGGAGCTCCCTGTGGGGCCACGAAACGTGTGAGGGGTGTGCCGAAATGGGTGTGCGGGACGCATGCGGACGGCAGCCATGGGGCCTTCGGTGGAGCTCCCTATGGGGCCACGAAACGTGTGAGGGGTGTGCCGAAATGGGTGTGCGGGACGCATGCGGACGGCAGCACTGGGGCCTTCGGTGGAGCTCCCTGTGGGGCCACGAAACGTGTGAGGGGTGTGCCGAAATGGGTGTGCGGGACGCATGCGGACGGCAGCCATGGGGCCTTCGGTGGAGCTATCGCTGTGGCCACGAAACGTGTGAGGGGTGTGCCGAAATGGGTGTGCGGGACGCATCCCTGGACTGGGGCCACGCACGTGTGGGGCCTTCGGTGTGGGGCCACGAAACGTGTGATGCCGAAATGGGTGTGCGGGACGCATGCGGACGGCAGCCATGGGGCCTTCGGTGGAGCTCCCTATGGGGCCACGAAACGTGTGAGGGGTGTGCCGAAATGGGTGTAGGGGACATGATGATGATGAGGATGATAGGAGGAGGAGAGGAGGAGGAGACGCGGGGCACCGTCTCTTCAAAACGAGGACCCAACACCACAGGATGGTTGGGAAAAATACATCAGAAATGGTCAAAAAATTAATCCAAAAATAGTCTGGGGACTAAGTTTTGACTATTGTTTGACCTTTTTGGGATATTTTTGGGGGCATTTTATATTTTGTCGTCGACAATCCTCGAACAGGGGTACACGCACAGCTGAAAGGTACGGTGGCGCGGGCCTCCCCGCGGAGGACGGCTCGTGCTGCCGCCCGCGTGCCCGCCCGGGGGCGGGAGGCCAACGCGCTCGGGCCGTCGACGACTCTTCCGTCGAGGCAGACAGGCCACCAGCAGCTCGCCTCGGGAAGTCGGCCGCCAGCCTTCGCTGAACATGCGATTAAGTCGGGCGTGTCCCTCTCCAGGGGGATTTTGGCGAAAAATGCAAAGTACTCCAAAAATGCCACAAAATGGCCAAACAATGCTCAAAAGATAGTCCCCAGACTATGTTTGCATTATTTGTTTTTGTTTTATCATTTTGGGGGTACTTGTTTATTTTTCGTCGAAAATCTCCCTGTAGGGGGACAGGCCCGACTTAAACATACGAACGGGTTGGCCAAATGCAGCCACGGGCACGTCGAGGAAGCTCGAGGGCCCAAGGAGAGAAGCGGGCGCCGGGGTGGACGTGACAGAGCGCTGTTGTGTCGATTCGCTGTGGCGGAGGGGAGATCGAGTCGTCGACGACGAGGTCCTCCTGGGAGGGCCATGGATGGGTTGTGGTCCTCCCTTCCTCTGGCCTTGAGGATGAGCTGGATCGAGGCCAGACCAAACTTTGAAAGCTGCATGTGCAGCGGCCTCCACTCGGGCTCTGGCCGCTGGGCGACCATCAGCATGGACACGTCGGTGAGGCAGGAGAAGATCGAGCCGATCGACTTCTCCCGCAGGTTCCACCAGCGCGCCAGGCTGGCGGAGATGTACATGCCCAGGATCAGCGGGACGAGAGAGCCCGTCTGCTTCGCCAGCATGTCGAACGCTTTCAGGTCCTGGGGTGGTGTTGGACAAATGCATGCCTCGCGTCATTCGCTTCGACTGTTTGCATCGGGGGGGACCGGTGTCGCCGACACACAACATGCACTCGAGTCAGGCTGGCTTCTCAAGAGCCCGGCTCCTCCTCCAGGACCCCCAAGTGGTGCCCGAGCACAGCAACCACCAACACTATGAAGATCTGCTGTATACACATCATCGCAACGGTGTGGTCCATCAGGAACAGGGTGCCTTTGCACATCATGCTCGCGAACCCGCCGTAGACCATCACCTTTCTCAGGTTGTAGTCTTTGAGCTTGATCTGGCCGTCGAAGCCCGTGACGTAGGTGCAGAAGAACCCCTCGGTGACGTCCTGATCTCCAAACTCGTGCTTCCTGAAATTGAGCTCTACCCGCCACCGTGCCGTGTGCACGTTGGAGCGTGTTACGGGCCTCGGAAGAAGTTACGATGAGAGCATTGAATAAGGAACCATTGGATAAGGATGCCAGGGTCTGGACGCCGGTGGAACTCCAATCGTGGATTAGCTATGAATGTCGCCGCCGCCCTCATACGATAAGGAATCCTCCTGGGTCTGACGCCTCCTGGACACATTCCTTACTCAACGCCCCCACCGTAGCGAACACTCATGTCACGTTCATCTGTCAATGCCCCCCCCAATTATCAATGTTGGCGGTGGGTTGGACAAGATGCACTTCACTCGCAGTCTTCCCCGTGCGTGCCAACTGTGAGTTTGGGGGGGCGCGGGGGAGTGCCCACTAATTGTTTCCCACTGCCGAAGAATGCTCTTCTGCTGCCTATTGAGGTTCCTGTAGTTTTTTGTCTGGGGCCGACCCCATCCCAGGGCTACACGCGCCCTGATAAAGTCATCCCCCCTCTCCAGGGCCGATGTTGGCTCATCTTCGCAGTCAGTTACGGCGGGCACCAATGTCCCAGAGAGCCCCCCCCGAGGGGGGTCAAAGCTTCTGAAAAAAGCATCAGCTATCACGGCACGAGCAGCCCAAACAGTAAAAACACAACCAACAAACAAAGCAGCCAGACAACGCCCCAAGGCAACCAAACTCGCCACAAGACTGCCTTCCGCTGCCTGCCGAAAACCATACACCCCCTCCGGGGCCAGCGCCTTACCACCATCAATAACTAAGTAATGTTCGGACCTGACGTTTTCCCAGCGGGGCCTCACAGGTGAGGGCAACATCAGCCAAGCACATCAACACCGATGTTGGCCAGCGTGGACCCAAGACAGTGTGTCATGGCACTGTGGAGGTGAAAGCAAGCTATGTGGTGGAAGCGATATTGTGATCGCTATGCGGTGTGAGCCATGTGGATGTAGCCCTGTTATACACAAGATGTGGTGCAAGCTACGTTGCGCAAACGAAGTGGTGTAAGCTATGTGGCGTGAGCCATGTGCGGTGTGATCTATATATATACACACACACACACACACTGCGAGCTACGTTGCGTAAAAGATGTGGTGTGTAAGCTGTGAGGTGTGGGCCACGGTGTGCAAGCTGTGTGGTGTGAGCTGTGTGGTGTGAGCTGTGCGCTGCAAGCGGGCACGGGAGCGGCGAAGCCTAGGGAAACCCACCCGGCGGCCACGAGGCGCCTACGAGCTGGCACGGCCGCCAACGCGGGGAGCCATCGGGCAAGAGGCCCACGCGGGCACGGGCGCCCACGAGGCGAGACATCGGGAAGCCCATCCGGCACGCCGGGGCGGCGCCTGTGAGGCGCCCACGGGCGGGCACGGCCGCCAGCGAGGCGAATCCTCTGGAACACACGCCCAGCGCACAGAGTGCCCACGGGGTGCCCTAGCCGACCTGGCGAAAGCCCGGGAAACCCCTTCAATTACTTCAAGCGCCCACCCCAAACAGTGAGTCGTTGCACTGCGGAGGTGGGAGCTATGCAGGGCAAGCTATGGGGTGCAAGCTAGATTGGGTAAGCCATGCGGTGCGAGCTATGCGGTGTAAGCTGTGTGCTGTAAGTGATTTGGGGGGCAGCTTATGCGGTGTAAACTGGAGGTGAACGCGATGCGGTGCTAGCTATGTGAAGTAAGCTGTGCGATGATGACTATGTGCTGCAGCATAAGTCGTGACAGCTACAGCGGTGCAAGCCGAGTAGTGCAAGCTCAGCGCGCGGGGCGCCATCAAGTGCCCACGGGGTGGCGCTGGCGGCCATGCAGCGAAACCTCAGCAGGCTCCCCCAAGAGCGGCGGGCGGCGACGAGGCGCCCAGTGGCGGCGACGTGGCGAAACCTCGGCGGACCCCCCCGAGCGCGGCGGGGGACGACGAGGCGCCCACGGGCGGCGACGTGGCGACACCTCAGCAGACCCCCCCAAGCGCGCTGAGCGGCGACGAGGCGCACACGGGCGGCAACGTGGCGAAGCCTCGGTTGACCCCCCGAGCGCGGTGGGCGGCAGCGAGGCGCCCACGGGCGGCAACGCTGTGAAACCTCGGCGGATTCCTCAAGCGCGGTGGGGGACAACGAGGCGCCCAATGGCGGCAACGCGGCGAAACATCGGCGGACCCATCCAACCCTTTAGGGGCACAAATAAGAGACCCATATGCAACCAAGTTGGCAATAAGAAATAATCAAGGGGCAGCCGAGCTCGTCCCAAGACTGCCCTCTGAAAACCGCCCACCTCTCTGGATCCAATTCAGTGTCATGTTCAAAAAAACATTATGGACAGGCATTGTTTCCTCAGATACCACACACACACCTCCCCCCGCGTTGTTGTGCCCCAAAAGAACACGCAAAACGACCCACTCGGCTAACGCAACCGCCAACAACAGCCAAACCAGCAACACCAAAAAACAACAGAGCATCAAGATGACAAATGAACTGCAGCAAAGAAACACCGGCCAGCCGAGATCGCCCCAAGACGGTCAGAAGGCCTCAATAGCGGTTCTAAGGCTGCCCATGGAAGCTTCCAGAAGCCCCCCAAAAGATCGCCACAAAAGAGGGCCCAAGATGTCAAGACGGCCCCCGAGGCCCCCAAGACGGCTCAAGAGGGTTCTTCAAGAGGACGCCCATGAGACCCTCGAGAGCATGATCAATGCTGCTCCATTGAAATTTGGTAGATTTTGACATACGGACCCTTTCTGGCTTCCGGAGACCCAAGACAACCCAAATTGCACCCAAGATGGTTCCACGACAGCCCACCAGGGCCCCAAGAGGTCCCCAAGATGGCGCAGGAAGGATCTACGACGGCCCACGAGGCCCTCAAGACGGAAGGGGGCCGGAAGACGGCCCACGACGCCCCCAAGCTGGCCCAGGAGCCCCACGAGAAGGCCCCAAGATGAGGCCCAGGAAGGGAACATCGAGCTGGCCTCGACCTCCTTTTTTCTCCAGGAGTGCCTCCAAGACCCAAGACCCCAACATGCCCAGGAGGAGGAGGAGGAGGAGGAGGAGGAGGAGGCCCCTAAGAGGCCCCCCGAGGCCCCTAGGGGCCTGCCAGGTGCCCCCGAGAGGCCACTACCGACCAGGAGAGGCCTCCCAGAGGTCACCCTACACAGACCAGCAAGGGCCTCCCAGCCGGGCCCAGAAAGGCGCCCGAGAGGCCCTCCAGCGGCTCCAGAGGAGCTTCAGGTCGGGCGTGCCCTCCTACAGGCGGAGGTTCGAGGAAAGATGAAAAAAACTCGTGATAAGAAAGATCCAGAACGAGTCCAGAATACTAAAAAAAATCGTCCCCCTGCGATGTGTTGCCTATTTTGGGAATATCCCTCCTGTAGAGGGAAAGCCCGACAACTAATACGACTCCTCCTCCTCCTCCTCCTCCTCCTCCTCCTCCTCCTCCTCCTCCTCCTCCTCCTCCTCCTCCTCCTCTAGGCCTGGCTACGGAACCCTCCTCCTTTCTCCACCTCCTCCAGCATGCAAATCTAACTCTACTTCTCCCACGCTGCGCGCTCCTGCGCTGGCGCGGCGGCGGGGGCGTTGCCGACCAGGCAGCCGGATGTCGCGCTCGATCGTCTGAATCCGATCCGCGCCTGGGATTTGCCCGCATCCGCCGATCTGAAGCCGAACCTAGAAGGGAGGAGGAGGATGAGGAGGAGGAGGAGGAGGAGGAAGAGTAGGAGAGGAGGAGGAGGAGGAGGAGGAGGAGGAGGAGGAGGAGGAGGAGGAGGAGGAGGAGGAGGAGGAGGAGGGAGGAGGAGGAGGAGGACTTGCCCTCGTCCTCCGATCTGGAGCCGAACCCAGAGGTACCGCCGGGGCGTTGACCTAAGGAACCCAAAATAGGGAACGAGGCCCCTTTTTTCCATAAGTCAACCTTCGATTTCCTGTCGAACCTACAGTCGGGGCGTTGACCTGAGGAACCCTAAATAGGGAACGAGGCCCCTTTTCCCATAAGTTAACCTTCGCTTTCCTGTCGAAGACATAAGGAAAATCCAAGGCAAGCTGCGAAACAATTAGGGAACGCGGAGCCCCTCCCCAACGAAAAGGGTTCCTTCTTCAGCGCCCCGACTGTAGGGGGCAGAAAGTCCACCCCCATGACGATCACCCCGACGCGCGACGCCGCTTCGCAAGCGCACCCGCAGAAGGAATCGAAGAGGGCGAGGCTCCTCAGCAAACGCCCAGGACCGTTTAGTAAACGCCAACTGTCGGGTCCAGGTGGTCTTTCCGTCCTTGAAGATGATCCCGCGAAGCGCTGATTTGCGGCGCGCACAGGGGGGTAGGGGGAGGGGGGAAGGCTTCTTGGAAGGAGGCTGCCTCCTTCTTAGAAGGAGGTTGCCTCTTAGAGGGCACGGGCCTTACATCTAGAGACGAGGCCCGCGCAGTCTAAGAAGCAGGGGTGCTTCTGAGAAGCCTGGCCCCCTCTCCCTACCCCCCCCTCTGCGCGTGGCCAGGAGCTGGAGCCGAGCCTGGAAGATCCCGCGGAGCGCTGGATGCGGAGAACCACCTGAGGGCGGGTACGGCCGCAACTGCGGGCAATACTTCTGTCCGTATCCACTGCAGCATGGAGTTTCGTTTAAGTCGGGCCTGTCCCCCTACAGGGGGATTTTCGACGAAAAAAATAATACCCCAAACATAATGAAGAAATAGTCCAAAAATAGTCTGGGGACTATTTTTGGTGTATCGTTTTGCCTTCTTGGAACATCTTTGGGGTACTTGTTATTTTTCATCGAAAATCACCCTGTAGGGGGACACGCCCGACATAAAGTGTCGGGCCCCTTTCCCAAGGAGCCCGAGGCGCACCCGATGTGGATATCAGTTTGCCCCCCCCCCCCCAGAGGCTCGATGCTTGCCCACATCCGGTGCGCCTCGGCCCTGGGGCACCCCGTCCCCCAAAAAAACAGGACGCACTCGATATGGACAGACATATTTCCGGCAAGCAACTCTTCCTCGGCGCGCCGCGGCGGCGGCCCGGGCGACACGCTGCGCCCTGCGGTCTGCTTGGGCCTGTTTTCCACCACCACCACCACCACCATAAGTTGGAGGGGGAGGGGTCCTCCTCCTCCTCCTCCTCCGCCTCCTCCTCCTCCTCCTCCTCCTCCTCCTCCTCCTCCTCCCCCCCTCATCCTCCTCCTCCTCCTCCTCCTCCTCCTCCTCCTCCTCCTCCTCCCCTCCTCCTCCCTTCCTCCTCCTCCTTCCCCTCCTCCTTCCCCCTCCTCCTCCTCCTCCTCCTCCTCCTCCTCCTCCTCCTCCTCCTCCTCCTCCTCCTCCTCCACCTCCTTCCCCCTCCCACGCATGGCCGTGGCGGTGGACAACGAGCCCATCACGGTCGGACCGAGGTGCCGACCCCCCCCCCCCCGCGGGGCGGGAGGCCCGGCGCGCGGCGCGCGGCGCGGGGTCCGCCCGGGGGACTGCCGGGGGGGAAGGCGCTCGGCGCGTCGCACAAGGGCGGGGGAGCGCGGCGGGGCCCCTTGGCCGGCGGAGCCGCCCGCCGGGCAGCAGGAGCAGGAGGAGGAGGAGGAGGAGGAGGAGGAGGAGGGGCAGGAGGAGGAGGAGGAGGAGGGGCAGGAGGAGGAGGAGAAGGAGGAGGAGGAGGGGGTGGAGGAGGAGGAGTAGGTCGGGCGCTTAGTGGACCGCCGCGCGGGCCAGGACACAGCGGGCCCCGCGCGCATCGCTCCAGTGGGCACGAGCGCCCGCGGGAACAGACGCCGAAGGCTCCTTGGTGGGTGACGCTCGACACAGAGTATCGATCTGTGCTATTTGTTGGGGGGGGGAGGAGGAGAACTTAATGGGCCCTGGAAACGGCAAGGCCGTTTTTGTTACCGGTTCCGTTCTGCCGTTTTGTTGCCGGTCCCGACGCCGTTTTTTTGCCGGTTCCGTTTTGCCGTTCTTTTACGGGTTCCCGCTCCGGTTCCAATCCTGGAGCCGTTTTTGTTGCCGTTTCCGGTCGCCGTTATTTTGCCTTTACCATTTTCATGGGAAACGTGTTCGGAAACGGTGAAAAAACGGCCCTGCTGTTTCCAGGGCCCACTAAGGTCGGGCGCGCCCTCCTACAGGCAGAGTGGAGGAGAAATAAACCAGAGTCCAAAAGAACAGGTTCAAGAGTAGTCCAAAAACAATCGCGCCGTCGTCCCCAGACTATGTTTTTGACTGGTGTTTGGAATTTCCCTCCTGTAGGGGGACAGGCCCGACTTGACAGCAGATCGTGGCCGCAGTTACCCGAGGGCGGGTAGTCAAGCGCTCCGCAGGATGCTTGGTCTCTCGTGTCTCGATCGGCGGACACGCGGATGAAGTCCCAGGCGCGGAGACGGTCGATGAGGGTACTGAAGCTGTTGCGGCGCAGGTGCACGTGACCGCCGTCGACTCCGACCGCGGCGTCCTGTGACTCTTTCCGTGTTTCTTCTGCTGTTGTGGTTTCGTTTTGCCCTCGGGGGACAACGAGTACCCAGACCCCTCGTGTCGTGAACAAAAAAACACACGACGGTAGGTGCTTCGTTATTTCTGCCTCTGGGGGCCCTGGCGGGGCCCTAGGACAGTCAAAAACGACCTGGGATAAAAGCCAGCCCCAGGGAATGGGTCGACACCTCTCGGGGTCCACGCTGCGAAAAATCATGACGCTGGGGGGCTGGGTCTCTACGCAGGGATTCTGATTGGGGCAAGCGCTCTGGGGATGGGCTGGAGAGAGTGGGGCGGGATGCTTGCAGGGTTACAGCAGGCACGCTAACTTAAGAAACTTGGCTGCCAACGCGTGCACCACGAAGACTTCGTTACTCCAGAGGAGGAGCCGCGGAGCCCTCGGGCACCTTGGCAAACTCAGAGTCGACGAAAGATGTGCCCCGAAATCCTCTTACATCGCTCCTCCTCCTCCTCCTCCTTCTCCTCCTCCTTCTCCTCCACCTCCTCCTCCTCCTCCCTCCCTCCTCCTCCTCCTCCTCCTCCTCCTCCTCCTCCTCCTCCTCCTCCTCCTCCTCCTCCTGCTCTTCCTCCTCCTCCTCCTCCTCCTCATACTTGCCTGCTGCGATGCTCTCCGCCTGCCTCCTGGTCAGCCCAAAATGCGCATCGGTGGCAGCAGCAGCAGCACCAGCAGCGGGGAGGGCGGGACGGATATTTTAGAAGCAGAGGAGCGCCGGGTCTTCCTCTCGCCTCGCTCCCTCTTTCGGCCCCCCCCCTTCTCCTCAAGACACTCCTTGTCTGCGATCACTCCCCGACCTCCTCAGCATCATCGGTGTCCTCGATCTCCTCCTCCTCCTCTGCATCCCCCTCTCCTCGCGGCTCTTCTGGCTCCCCGTCCGCATGCCTCGATTCTCCTTTGCACGCCTCCGCCTCGCTCCTCCTCATCACTCGTCTGATCCTCTCCACCTCCTCCACCTCATTCGCTCACTCACTGACGCCCGCTGAGGCCATTCTTCATCCTGCCCCTTCTGCCCCTGGTGCTCACCCGTCCTGCCGTTGCTCATTGTCCTTCTACGTCTCCGGACTGCTTCATTCTTACCCCGCACGCCTTACGTATCATCATCATCATCATCATCATCATCATCATCATCATCATCATCATCATCATCATCATCGTCATCATCATCATCATCATCATCATCATCATCATCATCATCAGCATCATCATCGTCGTCGTCATCATCATCAGCATCAGCATCAGCATCAGCATCATCAGCATCAGCAGCACCATCATGATCATCATCAGCATCATCATCATCATCATCATCATCAGCATCAGCATCATCATCATCATCATCACCATCATCATCATCATCATCATCATCATCATCATCATCATCATCATCATCATCATCATCATCATCATTCCTCATATTCGTCGTCCTCATCGACCCTCCAATGTATACTTACCTTCCTCCATCAACTCCTCACTCACCCCCCTCCTGCTGCATTCCACCCACCACGGGAGCGACAGAGAGGGAGGCAGTGGGAGAAGGCAGCAAAAGAGACGAGAAGGAGGAGGAGGAGGAGGAGGAGGAGGAGGAGGTTGGCGAGAGAGAGAAGGGGGGAGCCTGCTCACGACTCCTTGTCTGGATCAGACCCGCTGATCACGCCAGCCTTTTGGGACGCAGGTGGGTTAGCAAATTCGCTCCTCCAAGCCCCCGTACTCCCGCCTTGGCGAACGGCCTACCCCCCCCCGACCCCCTACCCTGGGTCTATATGGACGACCTTCCCCGCGACGCGTTGGAGGGTCCAAGACGGCTCCGACAGGGCGCCGGAGAGCCCAAAGCCCAAAGGTAGTCTCCAGGATGCCACAGCATGTCTCAAGACAGCCTTTCGGAATGCCTTCCAGGAGGCCCGGCCCAAGATCACCCAGTGACGGCTCCAACTGGCCTCGGAGCATCCAAGGACGCACCCCAGAGCCCCAAATCATTCAAGACCAAACGAAACTTAGTAGAATGCTCGCCTGTTTCGCCTCCGATGGGCCTTGAGGCCTCAGCCTGGTTCCAGAATGGCCGAATATAGCCCCGAGAATGATGGCCCAAGAGGGCCCTAAGAGCGTCCCCAAGAGGCGATGTTGCTGGCTCTGACGGGGGTACGCTAATCAGGGCCCCCCTTATTTGATCGATGGCCTCCAAGATGGCCCCAACAGGGCTCCCAAGATGGCCCGAGGAAGCTGGCAAAAAGCTCCCTCATCGAAGCGTCCGAAAATGGTTGGTTCCTGGGTCTGCTCAGGCTGACCCGGAGCTTCGGTTTGACGACTGTCCCCCTCTTTGTTCCACTGCTTGTTCCTTCACTGATCACAGCAACTCGCAATCACATGGTGTCTGGATAGGCTAGTGGGCATACGCGAGGCCTCAAGGATACGGCGGGCCTCCTGAGGGCAATATGCCGTGTAGGACTGCTTGCTAGCCGA